AAACAGTCAATACATATAAGTGAACCTTCACTGTGTTTTACCTGCGGCCATTTTCCTTCTGATGTTGCACGCTTTATTATTTCATTTATTGTGTTTTTTCGGGAATCTGGATCTACACGGGACACCAACACTGGTTGCACAGCCCGTAACAGTCCTTGGAAACAAACAAAAAGTCACAATCAAGCTAGAGCCACCACAGCAATAATACTGGATGTATCATACAACAAATTTCATGAAAAATTAAAATGACAGTAAATCAAAGATAACAATTTTTTTTAAAAAAAATCTCCAGTTCAAAGATTAGTAGAACTTAGCTTCTAATTTCAAAAGGAGAAGTAGATATTTATACCTAGAAATATTTCATTGATTTCACAGAAGTAAGCAGCAAAAGTATGAAAAGAAGCAAATGCAATTTTCTCCCCAAAGGTCTTCTTCCTCAATTGACATTAAACCTTTGGGATACACTACAAGATTATCTTGTTTTATTTTAGGAATACCTGAAAACTGATTCTGTAAATTCATGGTACACATAAGGAGGGGGCAGTTATTATCATTTTACTAAAATTTTCAGCAGAACAATTTTCTAAATAGATAGCTTCCTAGCACATGCAAAATAAACCTCAATTTACCAAAAATCTGTTGCCATACAACTATTCAGGAAAAAGCCATATTACATAAAACGCAGTAGTTACGTTAAAAAAAAAAAAGTGTCTTAGCTGAATAACAAAGCTGCAAGAACTACTATTATTTCTCCAGAGCACCAAGGCAACATCAAGCAACTTTCACACCTACTCTCATCACTTGATGTTTACAAGGACCTTGGGACAACAAGGAGCAGTTACTTGGAGACTAATTCCTGAGGGAGAGACCGGAGCATCTGGTGGGAAAAACACTTCATCTGCTTCATTATTTTTTATGGCAGGAAGCTCTTATTGTTCCACATCATAATTTCAAAGAGTTACACATAGGTCCCTCATGGAGATTTTGGGGGCACTGATGAAGAAAACAGAGTTCGGAAAAAAGACTTAGGGCATTTATGAGCCTAATACCCTGAAGAGAAATTCACGAAAAAGCATGTATCCTGTGTTTTCACAAATTCTTTAGATCAATTGTCTCAACATCAAGCATGTTTAGTATTTGAAAACCAGTCTTTCTGGCTACACATAACAACAGAAAGAAATGATGGCACAGTGACAAAGATAAGTTTTAAAAAGAACTATGAGGCTACAGATAGGGAAGGCTCCTCTAATCTTTTTTCATAAATTCATTCTGTCCACTTAGTACTATATTACAATAAACAGGTTTGAAATGTTTTATTATTTTAACATTTTTTAAAAAAGGTTATCCATAAACTATATATAACTCTTAATTTAAAGCACGAGCATGAAAATATTTTACCCATTACGAGTACTTACTGCCAATCAAAGGGACCTGTGCGTTCTCGCTTCGAGATACCATAGAAGGTAACCCGGCTACCACACAAGCAATCCCGTCGAAGAATGTCGAATGAGGGGCAACAACAAAAACTGGTGCTTCCAAAGGACTTGCAATCTTTCCTTTCACAGTGACTATAAATCCCATTGAAAAGAACATGGCACGACCCAGAAACTTCAAAGCCGTTTCAGTAATTTTCCTTTGCAAATAAATACAGAGAAGACATAATTAGCTTTGCTAATTGAAGCAAGCAGCAGGGCTTTACTCTAAAATGCAATAGGAAAACCAAAACATGTCAGCACATTTCATGTTAAAATACGAGCTAAGGAGAATAATAGCTAACGCTTGCATGGAGCGCTTTCTGCCAAGTGCCAAGCACTATTCTAAGCGCTTTACATACTTAGCCTAAACTTGTGACGTAGGTATTATTATTTCCGTTTTACAGATGAGGAAACAGGCACAGAGAAGTAAAGTAAATTTGCCCAAGGACATGTGGCTAATAAATGGCTCCAACATTCTGAGACTATAAACTGATAAAAATGAATGTTCAACACACATCCCCCACTGAGACATCC